GAGAGAGAAAGAGAGACAAGAGTGAGAACATTTGAACAAGACCCTCTTCCTCCCTTCCGTCTTGCAATTTCCAGGCACGCAGCAAACTGCACTGGTTGGTTGGTTGGTTGGTTGGTTGGTTGGTTGGTTGGTTTGCTTGTTGGTGGGGGCTTTTTTTGTTGGTTTTTAATTTTTTTTTAAATAAATGTACAGACTCTGTGCCATGGTGGGCAAGGAGAAAGAAAGCCAAAAAAAAAAAAAAAAGCCCCTTTCCCTCCCTCCACCCCTCCAAGGAAAACAAACCAAAACAAAACAAAACAAAAAGGAAAGTAAGTTTTCTGCCACGGGAGGAAAAAAAGAAAAAAAAAATGAGAGAGAGAGAGAGACACAGAGAATTTACTTAATTAGGATCGATACAAAGATCCCCCATCATAATAATTATAATAATTAAGAATAATAATATACCTTAGACATGGCACAGTCAAAGTCTCAGTTTCAGTATAAAAAAATAATGATTGATTAACATCTGCTGGCAAAAGTCTGCGAAGGCACTTCATCGATTAATGATCTGAGATGGCCCTTCCTCCGAACACAGCCTCTGGTGGGGGAGAGCACACAGCTGTATCCTCTAGTATCATCATGCGGTTGGGCTGGGGGCCAGGGGTGGGGGTCGGGGATGGGATGGAGTTTGGCCCTTAACTCGAGGTATTCGCTTTTGGGGGTTTGGTGGTCAGGGAAGCCCTTTCCAGCCGAGAAGAGAAGGGTTTCCTTGAGCCTGGCGTCCTGCTGCAGGTCCGGGTATTGCATGCCAGGGGGGTGCACGTGCAGCTCCTTTAGCTTGGGCACCGTGCCGTAGAGGCAGTCCACGAAGCCCACGGCGCAGGGCGGCGGCGGCGGGGGCGCGTCCCCGGAGAAGGCGCCCCCCGTGGGGCACGTCTACGACTACATCCCGCACCCCGTCACCCAGATGTGCAACAACCCCATCTACAAGCCGCGCGAGGAGGAGGAGGCGGCGGGGGAGCCGGGCGGCGGCGGGGGCGCGTCCCCGGAGAAGGCGCCCCCCGTGGGGCACGTCTACGACTACATCCCGCACCCCGTCACCCAGATGTGCAACAACCCCATCTACAAGCCGCGCGAGGAGGAGGAGGCGGCGGGGGAGCCGGGCGGCGGCGGGGGCGCGTCCCCGGAGAAGGCGCCCCCCGTGGGGCACGTCTACGACTACATCCCGCACCCCGTCACCCAGATGTGCAACAACCCCATCTACAAGCCGCGCGAGGAGGAGGAGGCGGCGGGGGAGCCGGGCGGCGGCGGGGGCGCGTCCCCGGAGAAGGCGCCCCCCGTGGGGCACGTCTACGACTACATCCCGCACCCCGTCACCCAGATGTGCAACAACCCCATCTACAAGCCGCGCGAGGAGGAGGAGGCGGCGGGGGAGCCGGGCGGCGGCGGGGGCGCGTCCCCGGAGAAGGCGCCCCCCGTGGGGCACGTCTACGACTACATCCCGCACCCCGTCACCCAGATGTGCAACAACCCCATCTACAAGCCGCGCGAGGAGGAGGAGGCGGCGGGGGAGCCGGGCGGCGGCGGGGGCCAGCATGTCGGGGCACAGCGCGTCCAGCTCCACGGAGCGCAGGTCGCGGTGCGTGAGGTTGTCCGGGCTGGCGCACAGCACGTCGCCCACCACGATCACGGAGCTGATGGTCTCGATCCACTGCTTGAGCGGCACCAGGTCGCACGTGCAGTCCCAGGGGTTGAGCTTGAGGTCGATCTGCACGATGGCGTTGAGGTGCTCCAGCACCCCGGCCACCGGCAGGTAGAGGAAGTGGTTGTTGCGCAGGTTGAGCCTGGCCAGCGAGGTGCCCGCGAAGGCGTCGGTGGGCAGCGTGCGCAGCAGGTTGTCGTTGAGGAAGAGCAGCTTGAGGTTGGGCATGAGGCTGAAGGCGGCGGGCTGGATCTCGCGGATCAGGTTGTACTCGAAGTACAGGTAGTGCAAGCTCTGCAGGCCCCGGAACATGCCCGGCGTCAGCCTCTCGATGTCGTTGCCGTTCAGGTAGAGGCTCTTCAGGTTGGGCAGGTTGATGAAGGCCCCGTCCTGCACGTAGGAGATCCGGTTGTTCCCCAGGTGCAAGAGATCCAAGGAGGAGAAATTCCAGAAATCCGAGCGGTAGATCTTCTGGATCAGGTTGCCGCTCAGGTACAGCTTCTTGGCGTTCAGGGGCCTGGGCAGCAGCTCGGAGATGTTGTGAAACCCTCGCTCCTTGCAGTTGACCGTCAGGCCCAAGTCGGTGATGTGCAAATTGCAGGAGCACCCGGTGGGGCATATGATGGGGATGGGAGGCCTCGTCTGGTAGGCGGCGATGGGAGGCTGGTTGGGCCCGGGGAACAGGCCTCGGGACGTTGGGGGAGGTTTGGGCGGCCGCGGTTGCTTGGTGGGCTTGGGCTGCTTATTGGAGGTTTTGTATTCAACAGAGGAAGCAGTGAAATGGAAGGAGGACAGCATGGAGGAAGGCTTGGTAGGCCACGCGTTCTCCTTGCTGGATGACAACTGAGGAATCCCCAGGCTGGCCTCCACCTCCGAGTCAGATAGCATGGGGCAGAGTTTGCTCCTTTTGATTTCCCTCAGGTCCTTGCCATGGAAGTGGAAGGGGGTCTCGCAGGTGATGTCTCCCACCAGGGCGGTGTAGGGGATGCGCTCGAGCCAGCTCTTCAGCTGCACTATCTCACAAGTACAGTTCCAAGGGTTCTCCTCCAGCTGGATCTCCATGAGGCTCCTGCCAATATGGTCCAACATCCCTCGGTAGGAAAGGACTTTTAACCTGTTTCCCCGCAAGTCCAAGTGGGTTAAGGACACAGACTTGAACAGGTTGGTAGGAAGCATGGGTATAAGGTTGTCGTTTAAGATCAGGACCCTCAGTTTGCTCAGATTTCGAAATGCCCCACTTTCAATCCGTTTAATGACATTGTAATCTGCCTGCAGATATTCCAGACTTTCCAAACCCAGGAAAGTGTCATTTCTGAAAATGTCTAATTTGTTCTCGTGGAGGTACAACCTCTTCAGGACTCGGAGCCCATTGAAAGCTCCTGTCTGAATGTCCTGCAGTGCATTGTTCCCAAGGTTAATAGACACAGCATTGTTCAAGTGAAGAAAACTGTTGGTGTACAATTTCCTCATGGAATTCCTCTGCAGATAAAGTTTAAAAGGTCTTGACCACGATTCCGTTATCTGACTAATATTTATAAATCCTTTATTGTCGCAATGTATATGGAAAAGGCTCTCTCTCACTTCACAGTAACATGGATCAAAGCAGGGCTCGTCGATCTCCTCCGAGTCCTCTATCAAGGGAATTGGTGTAGTCCATGCTAGAGCAATTGTGCTTAGAAGAATTATCCACAACATCCTTCCCCTATGGAGAGTCTCTGCCGTGGAAGGTTTCATCGTGTGTGGCTGATTACAAAACTGGAACAGAAATAAAAATGCAGATTTTCAGTATTTAGTCACGCTACTCCTTTTAATAAGCCCAGCTAGACTTTTATTAGGCTCCTGGAAAGTTGCTGGGGAGAGGTTCAAAACAAACTCCAGCATGTTTGATGTTCAAGGCTTGTCCTGATTTTAGGCTTCAGAGATATTGAAATGTTTAATCATGAGATGCCATTCCCCCCCACCCCCTTCCACATGCCACTGGGTAAATGGCACATCTGATGAAAACAGCATACAGGTACCATATAGCAAACGGACCTATGGGCTGACTGTGTCACATATTTTTTTCGACATATGACCAGTATTGGAAACCACATCTTTAATACTTGTTTGCAGTCTCACCTTTGCACCCCTCACAACCTGCATCGACTATAGGAGAAAACACTGGCGGGCATATTTCACTAGCATCCCTCTGTAACCATCCATCACACGCACACATGCACACAAACTCCCAAAGTTATTAAATGGCAATGGTCAAATATCCGAGGCATCCACTCCGTGTGCTCTGTGTGGAAGTTCGTGGGAATGTGCAAGCTTTGCTGATGTCTCTGACATAACGGTCTCCTTTAGAAATTCTCTCAATGTCTTTAATCATAGGAAATGGTTAACAACCATGATTTAAAAGACAATCTGGCCCTTCCCCCCCCCCTCCCCAACCCCAGCAAGCTGATGGATTAATGCAACTGGTATATTATCAGATAAATACATACCACATATTAGTCATTTTAGCTGATTAAAGCATTTAGAGATGATTAATCTTTCTAAAGCACATGCCCATGCGATCAGCAGATCTAAGGGGAAGTGACAGCTGAAGAGGCACCTCGGATTGAAAGGCTCAGCCTGGTTTGGATGATGGTATTTTGTGCCCCCAGGACCAAGCAGGGGACCCTGCTAAAAAGCTGAAAGTGGAAGAAAAATACCTTGACACTTACCAGCTGAGAAATGATCTATCTTACTGTATAGGTTTCCGAAAGAAGACACCATTCTTCTCCAAGCAGATGAAACAAATACTGTACTAATACCATGCAGCTCCCCAAGACACGGTTTCCCCCTGCCTCTCTCCAGATATTTCAGGGGGATGGGGATTAATAACTGCTAATGATGGTAATAACAGTGATGGTGATGCAGCCCTCTTCCAGCCACTGAAACAGCTATTACAATTGCTCCGAGGGATTCGTTGCTTTTAGTCCTAGTCTATCAATAGAAAAGGACGATTTTTCGCCTTCCCCCATGCACAATCGGAGAATTTTCTCCCCACCCCCCCTACCCCCGTGCCCAAACTTAAAAGCAGAAAGACGCATTTAGGGAGAGGAATGGGGAAGGGAAAGCAATCCTCAGGATCAACTTGCACATGAAGCCCCTCCGCTGTAGGAAAAGGGGAGACGGTGGGAAAGAAAAAAAAAATCCCCTCTCTGCAATTCCAACCGTGATCTAATTGGGAAGGAGGGAGAAAGAAAACGGACAGCTACATTGCAGTATCCGTCTCCCCGTCTCCTTTTGCAAAATATTAGCCACTTACATTCTTTCCCTGCTGCAATACATCCCTATAGAAATAAATAGATACATATCTCCGGTGGGAAGGAGGGGAGGGAGGTCTTTGAGGCGAGGCAGCAAGAAAAGGAGCTGGAAAGCTTGCACTTACCGGTTTGCAGGAGAGATTTTTAGCACATCTTTTAAAAAAGGGGGGGAAAAGCTTGAGTTTAAGGATTGCTGATTTCTCTCTGTCTCTCTCTTCTCTCTCTCTCTCTTTCGCTGTCTCTCTCTCGCCCTCCCTCTCTACTCCTGCTGAGGCTGAGGCAAAAGGGGGAAGAAAAAAAAAAGCAAGCAAGCCTGAGACGTGCTGGGAATGCAATGAGCTCCTCAATGAGCTTCTTTAGGATGCAGAGCTGCTGCTTGGCACACTCAATGGAGGAGGAGGAATAGGGGGGCTGCTGCAGGCTCCCAGCTCCGGTGCCGCTGCTGCTGCTTTCTCTGGGCACCAGCAGCAGGCGAGGGAGGGAGGCTCAATCACGGCGGAGAATCTCGGGCTTCTCTCCCTTTCTCTCCGTGTGTGTGTGTGTGCATGTGTGCGTGTGTGTGTTATTGTTGCCCTGGCTCAGGCTTTTCCACGTCATGAAAATGAGCTTCGAGAAGGGCAACAAATGAAGGGGGCGCGCTTGGCACCAGGTCGCGCATTCGGGAAGCCCTGACTCCACAGATCCCCCCTCCACCTTTTTTTTTCTTAAAGAGGGAGGGGAGGGGATGAGGGGGG